TCCCATCCTCCCATCTTCCCATCCTCCCATCCTGCCATCCTGCAACCCTGCCATCCTGCCATCCTGCTGCCCTACCATCCTCCGATCTTGCCATTCCGCCATCCTGCCACCGTCCCATCCTGCCATCCCACCACCCGACCATCCGACCATCCTCCCATCCCACAACTTGGCCGTCGTGCCGTCCTGCCGTCCCACCACCCGACCATCCTCCCATCCTCCCATCCCACCAACCGACCATCCGACCATCATCCCATCCTCCCATCCTGCCATCCCCCCGTCCTTTGATCCTGCCATCCGAATACCGGCTTCAACGCGACACCCCACCATACGATGGCCTGGCTCTAGCGCTCCACCCGACCGTCGCGCCATCCTGCAACCCTGCCATCCTGCAACCCTGCCAGCCCGCCGCCTGACCATCCTCCGATCTTGCCATTCCGCCATCCTGCCATCCTCCCATCCTGCCATCCCACCACCGGACGATCCTCCCATCCTCCCATCCTCCAATCCTACCGTCTAATTGCGGGGCTTCGACGCGACAACCCATCATCTCATGGTCCGGCTTCGACGCGACACTCCACCATCCAATGGTCGGGCTTCAACGCGACACCCCACCATACGATGGTCTAGCTCCACCGCTCCACCCGACCGTCGTGTCGTCTTGCCATTCCACCACCCGACCATCCGGCCATCCTCCCATCCCACCACCCTCCCATCCTCCCATCCCCCCATCGACGCATCCTGCCATCCTCCCATCCTCCCATCCTCCCATCTTCCCATCCTCCCATCTTGCAATCCTGCAACCCTGCCATCCTGCCATTCTGCTGCCCTACCATCTTCCGATCTTGCCATTCCGCCATCCTGCCACCCTCCCATCCTGCCATCCCACCACCCGACCATCCGACCATCCGCCCATCCCACTACCCGGCCGTCGTGTCGTCCTGTCGTCCCACCACCCGACCATCCGACCAGCCTCCCATCCCACCACCCGATCATCCTCCCATCATCCCATCCTCCCATTTTGCCATCCCCCCATCCTCCTATCCTCTCATCCGATAGTTGGGCTTACACGCGACACCCCACCATACGATGATGTGGCTCCACCGCTCCACCCTGCCATCCTGCAACCCTGCCAGCCCGCCGCCCGACCATCCTCCGATCTTGCCATTTCGCCATCCTGCCATCCTCCCATCTTGCCATCCCACCATCGGACGATCCGACCATCCTCCCATCCTCCCATTCTACCGTCCTCCCATCCTCCTATCCTACCGTCCGATTGCGGGGCTTCGACGCGACACCCCATCATCTCATGGTTCGGCTTCGACGCGACATCCCACCATCCGATGGTCGGGCTTCAACGCGACACGCCACCATACGATGGTCTAGCTCCACCGCTCCACCCGACCGTCGTGTCGTCTTGCCATCCCACCACCCTCCCATCCCACCACCCTCCCATCCCACCACCTTGCCATCCTCCTATCCCCCCATCCACGCATCCTGCCATCCTCCCATCCTCCCATCCTCCTATCTCTCCATCCTCCCATCCTGCCATCCTGCAACCTTGCCATCCTGCCATCTTGGTGCCCTACCATCCTCCGATCTTGCCATTCCGCCATCCTGCCACCCTCCCATCCTGCCATCCCACCACCCTCCCATCCGACCATCCTCCCATCCCACTACTCGGCCGTCGTGCCGTCCTGCCAACCCACCACCCGACCATCCGACCATCCTCCCATCCCACCGCTCGACCATCCTCCCATCATCCCATCATTCCATCCTGCCATCCCCCCATCCTCCGATCCTCCCATCCGATAGTCGGGCTTCAACGCGACACCCCACCGTACGATGGTCTGGCTCCACCACTCCACCCGACCGTCGTGCCATCCTGCAACCCTGCCATCCTCCAACCCTGCCATCCTACAACCCCGCCAGCCCGGCGCTCGACCATCCTCTGATCTTGCCATTTTGCCATCCTGCCATCCTCTTATCCTGCCATCCCACCACCGGACGACCCGGCCATCCTCCCATCCTCCCATCCTACCGTCTGATTGCGGGGCTTCGATGCGACAACGCATCATCTCATGGTCCGGCTTCGATGCAACATCCCACCATCCGATGGTCGGGCTTCAATGCGACGCCCCACCATACGATGGTCTAGCTCCACCGCTCCACCCGACCGTCGTGCCGTCCAGCCATCCCACCACCCTCCCATCCCACCACCCTCCCATCCTCCCATCCCCCCATCTACGCATCCTGCCATCCTCCCATCCTCCCATCCTCCCATTTTCCCACCCTCCCATCCTGCCATCCTGCAACCCTGCCATCCTGCGATCCTGCTGCCCTACCATCCTCCGATCTTGCCATTCCGCCATCCTGCCATCCTTCCCATCCTGCCATCCCACCACCCGACCATCCGACCATCCTCCCATCCCACTACCCGACCGTCGTGCCGTCCTCCCGTCCCACCACCCGACCATTTGACCATCCTCCCATCCAACCACCCGACCATCCCCCGATCGATGCATCCTGCCATCCTCCCATCTTCCCATCCTCCCATCCTGCCATCCTGCAACCCTGCCATCCTGCCATCCTGCCATCCTGCTGCCCTACCATCCTCCTCTGGCCATTCCGCCATCCTGCCACCCTCCCATCCACCCGACCATCCGACCATGCTCCCATCCCACTACCCGGCCGCCGTGCTGTCCTGCCATCCCACCACCCGACCATCCGACCATCCGACCATCCTCCCATCCCACCACCCGACCATCCTCCCATTCTCCCATCCTCCCAACCTGCCATCCCCCATCCTCCGATCCTCCAATCCGATAGTCGGGCTTCAACGCGACACCCCACCATACGGTGGTCTGGCTCCACCGCTCCACCCGACCGTCGGACCATCCTGCAACCCTCCCATCCTGCAACCTTGCCAGCCCGCCGCCCGACCATCCTCCAATCTTGCCATTCCGCCATTCTCCCATCCTCCCATCCTGCCATCCCACCACCGGACCGTCCTCCCATCCTCCCATCCTCCCATCCTGCCGTCCTCCCATCCTCCCATCCTACCGTGCGATTGCGGGGCTTCGACGCGACATCCCATCATCTCATGGTCCGGCTTCGACGCGACACCCCACCATCCGATGCTCGGGCTTCAACGCGACACCCCACCATACGATGGTCTAGCTCCACCGCTCCACCCGACCGTCGTGCCTTCCTGCCATCCCACCACCGGACCATCCTCCCATCCTCCCATCCCACCACCCTCCCATCCTCCCATCCCCCCATCGACGCATCCTGCCATCCTCCCATCCTCCCATCCTCCCATCTTTCCATCCTCCCATCTTCCCATCCTGCCATCCTGCAACCCTGCCATCCTGCCATCCCTCTGCCCTACCATCCTCCGATTTTGCCATTCCGCCATCCTGCCACCCTCCCATCCTGCCATCCCGCCACCCGACCATCCGACCATCCTCCCATCCCACTACCTGGCCATCGTGCCGTCCTGCCGTCCCACCACCCGACCATCCGACCATCCTCCCATCCCACCACCCGACCATCCTCCCATCATCCCATCCTCCCATCCTGCCATTCCCCTATCCTTCGATCCTCCAATTTGATAGTCGGGCTTCAATGTGACACCCCACCATACGGTTGTCTGGCTCCACTGCTCCACCCGGCCGTCGTGCCATCCTGCAACCCTGCCATCCTGCAACCCTGCCAGCCCGCCGCCCGACCATCCTCCGATCTTGCCATTCCGCCATCCTGTCATCCTCCCATCCTGCCATCCCACCACCGGACCATCCGGCCATCCTCCCATCCTCCCATCCCGTCCTCCCATCCTACCGCCCGATTGCGGGGCTTCGACGCGACACCCCATCATCTCATGGTCTGGCTTCGATGCGACACCCCACCATCCGATGCTCGGGCTTCAACGCGACACCCCACCATACGATGGTCTAGGTCCACCGCTCCACCCAACTGTCGTGCCGTCCTGCCATCCCACCACCCGACCATCCTCCCATCCTCCCATCCCACCACCCTCCCATCCACCCATCCCCCCATCCACGCATCCTGCCATCCTCCCATCCTCCCATCCTCCTATCTTTCCATCCTCCCATCATGCCATCCTGCAACCTTGCCATCCTGCCATCCTGGTGCCCTACCATCCTCCGATCTTGCCATTCCGCCATCCTGCCACCCTCCCATCCTGCCATCCCACCACCTGACCCTCCGACCATCCTCCCATCCCACTACCCGGCCGTCGTGCCGTCGTGCCGTCCCACCACCCGACCATCCGACCATCCTCCCATCCCACCACCCGACCATCCTCCCATCATCCCATCCTCCCATCCTGCCATCCCCCCATCCTCCGATCCTCCAATCCGATAGTCGGGCTTCAACGCGACATCCCACCATACGGTGGTCTGGCTCTACTTCTCACCCGACCGTAGTGCCATCTTGCAACCCTGCCATCCTGCAACCCTGCCAGCCCGCCGCCCGACCATCCTCCGATCTTGCCATTCCTCCATCCTGTCATCCTCCCATCCTGCCATCCCACCACCGGACCATCCGGCCATCCACATCATCTGATCGTCCGGCTTCGACGCGACACCCCACCATCCGATGGTCGGGCTTCAACGCGACACCCCACCATACGATGGTCTAGCTCCACCGCTCCACCCGACCGTCGTGCCATCCTTCCATCTCACCACCCGACCACCCGACCATCCTCCCATCCTCCCATCCCACCGCCCTCCCATCCCCCCATCACCCCATCCTGCCATCCTCCCATCCTCCCATCCTCCCATCTTCCCATCCTCCCATCCTCCCATCCTCCAATCCTCCCATCTTCCCATCCTTCCATCCTGCCATCCTGCAACCCTGCCATCCTGCCATCCTGCTGCCCTACCATTATCTGATTTTGCTATTCTGCCATCCTGCCACCCTCCCATCCTGCCATCCCACCACCGTCCCATCCGACCATCCTCCCATCCCACCACCCGACAGTCATGTCGTCCTGCCGTCCCACTACCCGACCATCCGACCATCCTCCCATCCCACCACCCGACCATCCTTCCATCATCACATCCTCCCATCCTGCCATCCCCCCATCCTCCGATCCTCCCATCCGACCATCTTGCCACCCCACCACCCGACCATCCGACCATCCTCTCATCCTCCCATCCTCCCATCCTCCGATCCTGCCATCCTGCCATCCTGCCTCCCGACCATCCTTCGATCTTGCCATCCTCCCATCTTGCCATCTTGCCATCCTCCCATCCTGCTATTCCGCCACCGGACCACCCGACCATCCTCCCATCCTCCCATCCTCCCATCCCATCTTCCGACCACCTGACCATCCAACTTTCCTGCCATCCCGCCACCGGACCAACCGACCATGTTGCCATCCAACCACCCCATCGTCCTGCCATCCAAGCGTCAGACCATCCTGCAGTCCTACCATCCTCCCTTCCTGCCATCCTCGCATCCTGCTGTCTTGCCACCCGACCACCCTACCATCCTCCCTTCCTACCAGCCTCGCATCTGGCCATCCTCGCATCCGACCATCTTGCCACCCCGCCACCCAAGCATCCGACCATCCTCTCATCCTCCCATCCTCCGATTTTGCCATCCTCCCATCTTGCCATCTTGCCATCCGACCATCCTGCCATCCGACCACCCAACTATCTGATGGTCGGGCTTCAACGCGACACCCTACCATCCGATGGTCAGGTTTCAACGTGGCACCCCACAATTCGATGGTCGGGCTTCGACGCGACACCCCACCATCCGGTGGGCAATCTTCGACGCGACACCCCACCACCTGATGGTCAGGATTCGACGGGACACCCCACCATCCGATGGTCGGGCTTCAACGCTACACCCCACCATCCGATGGTCAGGCTTCAACGTGGCACCCCACCATCCGATGGCCGGGCTTCAACGTGACACCCCACCATCCGATGGTCAGGCTTCAATACGGCACAACAACTACACGATGGTCGGGCTTCAACGCGACACCCCCGCCATCCGATGGTCGGACTTCAACGCGACACCGCACCGTACACCTTTCAACCGCACCCTTCCCGCCATCGAGGCTCCCAACCTTCTCTTCTCACCATCCACTCTTCTCGCCATCAAGACTTCTGCCCACTTCCCCGCCAGCAAGGTTGTCGACCACCTTTCCCGCCATCCAATCTTCTCGCCATCCAGTGTTCCCGCCATCCACTCTTCTCGCCATCCACTCTTCCCGCCATCCGCTATTCTCGCTATCCACTCTTCTCGCCATCCACTCTCCATCCGCTGTTCTCGCCATCAAGGTTGCCAACCACTCATCTTGCCATCCACGCTTATCGCCATCAAGGCTGCGCCCACTCTTCTTGCCATCCACTCTTCTCGGCATCCACTCTTCTTGCCATCCACTCTTCTCGCCATACACTCTTCTCGCCCCACTCTTCTCGCCATCCACTCTTCTTGCCATCCACTCTTCTCGCCATCCACTCTTCTCGCCGTCCACTATTCTCGCCATCAATCTTATCGCCCCACTCTTCTCGCCATCCACTATTCTCGCCATCCACTGTTCTCGCCGTCCACTATTTTTGCCATCAATCTTTTTGCCCCACTCTTCTCGCCATCCACTCTTCTCGCCATCCACTATTCTCGCCATCCACTATTCTCGCCATCAATCTTTTCGCCCCACTCTTGTCGCCAAACACTCTTCTCGCCATCCACTATTATCGCCATCAATTTTCCCGACGCAAACTCCGTCTGCCAGCCACTCTCTTCCCCATGCATTCTTTTCTCCATCCGTTGTCCCCACCATCTGCCATTCCGCTGTCCCCACCATCTGTCAATCTATCCGCTATTCCACTCTTCTCGCCATCTGCTGATCCCGCCAATTACCACTCCAACCATCTACCCTTCCCGCCACCTGCGCATCCCAAATGCATGTGCATGCACGACGAGACTTTTTTAAGTTTGGAAAGAAAAAACGATGTCGCCAAAGTCCGGTAGGGAAAATGACGCGCAGAGGGTGGCACGTCATGTGCATGCACCCTTGCATGCAAAGAAAGGAGCTTTTTGAAGCGTGCAAAGATCCGGGATGTTGCCTAACAAAGATCCGGGATGTTGCCTAACAAAGACGCTACCCCTGTTGTTCCTGTCGAATCACTCGGTCGCGCCTGCTGCCAATGTGATCACAACGGTTTTCAACTGTGTGCGTATTCCCATTTCTGTGCCATTACGCACCATCCAGAGCTTAGAATCATTCCATCCATTGGAGGGTTTCCCGCACACCGTGCAGTTCCTTATTTCCAGTCACCACGAAGGCAAGGCGAAAACAAAACAAAACAGAAAAAAAAAAAAAAAAAAAACAAGAAAAAAAAATAGAAAATCTTGGCCGGGAAAAAGGGAGTGAAGGACTAGAGCTAGAA